TGATAACCGTCCTCAATAATTTTTTCAGAGATGTTTTGGTAGATTACTGTGACCTTTTTTGCTGAGCTCTGTAGTTGAGATTTTGTTTTGCTCTGCAAAGACCGCTGTGGATCCTCTCGAGATTAATTCTTCGACCCCGTACATTTTGTGGTCGAACATATATTGACAATTCCAGCTGTTTAGCACGTTGAGTTTCTTGGTGAGAGGTATAAAAGTTAGTAGATGATCAAAGAATATGCATGACATCATGTTGAAAAAGTGGAATCAACACTGTGGCACAGTGGCATACGGTCATTGTACTCTGAGTCAGGAAAATGTTAAGGAGTAGTTAGGTTATACGTTGTGTCCAAAGTCAGTGGGTCTACTCGACCCTCCACCGTAACCCGCAAGGGTTTATTGTGGCTCACACCTACTCTCACTCGGCCAAACAAACCCAGCTTCTTAACGAAGACGATTAGTTTGTATGTTGAGTAGTCTTTCAGGTCAGATGGTAAGATTTCGGCTCCGCCGAACTCTAAAGACCTGATACGGTCCCCAGCGGAGCAGGCACAAAGTATATGCTCTGTTAATGAGGTAGTCGGATAGTCAATTTGCAAGATTCCCACCTTGATACCCATGACAACCTTCCCATATGAAGGTTTCTGCCCGTCAGCTACACCTGACAATGCCTTAGATTCAGCCGTACAGGGCTTTTTCGCCTCTGGTTTTGGGAAAACCTCACTTGAGCGCAAACGTTTGCTAACCTGCTCATGGGGAGTTAGTTTCCCCACCTGAGACATATTCTGCGTATGCCGCAGCTCTCGCTCCTGAACTGAATTTACAGGGAGGTAAATTGGAGTCGTAAACTCGACATCCATCTCCTCTGTAGACTCGCTTCTGAACTAAATTCACAGTGAGGTCCGTTGGAGTCGTAAACTCGACGTCCATCTCCTCTGTAGACTCGCTCCTCAACTAAATTTACAGGGAGGTCCTTTGGAGTCGTGAACTCGACATCCATCTCCTCAGAAGACTCGCTTCTGAATTAAATTTACAGGGAGGTCAGTTGGAGTCGTCAACTAGACATCCATCCCCTCTGTAGACTCGCCCCTTCCTGAACTGAATTTACAGGGTGGTCAGTTAGAGTCGTAAACTCGACATCCATCTCCTCTGTAGACTCGATCCTGGATTAAATTTTACAGGAAGATCAGTTGGAGTCGTAAACTCGACATTCATCTCCTCTGTACACTCGCATCTGATCTTAGTTTACAGGAAGGTCAGTTGGAGTCGTAAGGTCGACATCCATCTCCTCTATAGACTCAGCGTCAAAAAGAATTTTTAAGTTTACTCTGTCCATAAAGGTCCCACGAGTAGCTAGAGAAAGAAGGTCAATCACGGCAGAGCCCCGCATCACCATTAAGGCGATGCTACGACGAGAGGGCGCCCGGTATCTCGAAGGTTCCGTAGAGACAGCTGATAAGCTTAGTGTCAGAACCACAAGTGATTATGTCATTCCCTTATCCAGCGGGGCTACGTGGAAGCAGGCATCCGATGGCCGGTTTGCTCAACTCCACATCCCAAGCCAATGCACTCGCTAAAAACAGCATGCACAGTGGTTCAGGCAGTGGAAGATGAACAAGGACAGCCAACCCGCCTAAGAAGTGGTACTAGCTTTTCACAGAAGGTCAAAAATGTGGATGACGATGCTCGCAATGGGCGCCGCAGGACATCAACCGTTGAAAATATTGTAAAATAATATTTTCATCGAATCACTATTTGAGGAGTGGCCAAGGATGTCATTTTTCTGAAATGTTGGGCATGAAGCGTGTGGCACCAAAGTTCGTTCCAAAAAAAACCGTCGCATGAACCTTGCTCGGAATTGTTAAATGAGGTCAAAGGCAATCCACATTCACTTTGAAGGGTCATAACTGGGTACATGACCAAACCAAAGTCCAATCGTTCCAATGAAAGAGGCCAGAAGAGCCAAGACCAAGAAAAGCACGCAAAGTTCGATCAAATACGATAGTAGCGATTTACTTTGGATTTGAATCGCTGGGCGTTGAATCCATTTGGAAAAACGTTCTCAGGAAGTTCATTCCACATAAACGCAGTTCTCCAGATGAAAGAGTTCTTAAACAGTGAACTTCGAGGTGTATTGAGTTGTACCTCAAAACGATGAGCAGCAACAGTCCGTCACGTATTTCTGATATGTACCGCTCTTGGTGGAATCGAAGGTTGCACGTGAAGATCAGGTCTCCAATCAGGCGGATTACTCTTTTCTGGATGGAATCCAGCAGCTTCAGGGTATGCTTAGGGACAGAGCTCCATGCATGAGAACAATACTCCAAAGAAGGTCTGATCTGAGCTTTATAAAGCATCAAAAGTCGCTGAGGAATGTACAGTTTTCTGGTTCGAAACAGTGTTCCAAGCTTCTGAGAAGCAGCTGTTGCAACTCCAGCGACATATTTGTGCCAAGACATATTGGTGTCCATTGGTGTTCGTAATTTTTTGGCCAGAAACAACACCGTTATCATGTAACCAAGATTGAGGAAACCATGAAAGTGCGGTGTTTTGCAACGATTGAGGAGATGAAAACCGAATTGCTGAGAGAGCTGAGGGGGACTACTTTCGATTAGGGAAAATGAGAATTGATAAATAAATGAATATTAAAAAAAATCAAAATTTTCCTTATGAACGAACAGTTTCATGATAAATGCGGTTAAATGGGTTCAAGCAATATGATTCTCGATAATGGAAGAAACAACAATGTCAGTTATTACATTTGGAATTTATCTGATGCTCTATTTCCTGTAGAAAAATTAGCTCCAATTAATTACAGCTAAAACTTGAGGAATGCAAGTGAAAACAGTGTGAACGATGAAATAATGAAGAAAATGGTTAACATGAGTTTCATTCGATTATGAAAGAATTATATGACACAACCTCCTAGAGTGTAAAGTACATAATATAAACAAATCGCGGTTAATAACGGTTATAAGGTAGATATTATGAACGCCATTCTTTCCAAAAAACTACAAAAGCAAGCCATGGACCTGGTCTACCCATATTCAAGATGCTATAACGTCAGTTATAGGACATTGGCATATTTGGGTGAACCAACCAAGAATATTGCCCGTTTTTTTGATGAAAGAAGGCGTAAACGTAGCCTACAAAACGAATAATACTTTAAGTAAATTTATTAAAAACAGTAAAGACAAAACTTCGGTGTCGTATAGATCAGGAGCATATGAGTTGACTTGTGGCTCTTGTCCAAAACTGTATATTGGCCAAACAGGAAGAACATTTTCCCAAAAAATTAAAGAGAATAGAAGTAGTTTTGTAAATAGAAAGACCAATTCCACATTTTCAAACCACCTTTTAGCAGAAGGACTTGAGTTCAATAATGAATACGAAGTGTTACATTTAGAAGAGAAGAGTTTGAAACTCAATCTTCTAGAATGCTCAGAAATCAATATATTCAGGAATTCAGGTAATTTACTGAATGATCAATTAGAATTGAATAACTCTCCCTCATTAAATGTGTTTTCAAATGTGGAAAATGGAACATAAGCACAGGTAATTTAATTCATTATAAACTTAGGTAAAAAATTAGGTACTTGAAATTCAGGTACTTCAAATTGTAGAATTATAGCATTGAATGTGTAGAATTAGTTATTATACACGCCTGGGGAAACCATTGTATAGCAAAACGTTGCGTTTTTGTAAAACTGTCTAGTGAAAATCACACAATAGAGTGTTTTTAGAATACGTTACATAATATATTGAATCGAAAGAGAAAATGAAAATCCTGCGCCTTATGAAATAAGATTTCAAATTTTCGACTTCATTATAATTTCACTGTGGGTGTACAAGTTGCTGCGAGGACTTACCGAATGAGGATATTTGGATCTAGAGTTTCTAAAAATGAAATTTTCAACAACATTGTTGAAATAATTGGCAACTCTTCATTCCGACTAGAAATTGATCATTGCATTTCAGTGTTTTTACTGTTAATGTGCACTAATGAATTTATTCGTATTTAGTTAAAGGAGAAATCATGAGCTTGTCAGGTTATTCCCATTAAAAATAACGATGCATTAGGACTCACGCATGAAATCGAGTAATGAATTAAGAAGTAATTGACTTTTTTATATGATCAGTAGAGCAACACGTACCATGAGTTGAAATGAGTGGTAGGAACATATAAATGATAATTAAATCTGTTTAAATCTGTTTGAAATCTGTTTTTCCGTTAACCAGCTGTCGTACCCCTACGAACGACAACCCACAGAAGTCGAAACTTGTGCGAGCTAAGGAGTAACGAGGTCTAACCTTTCAACGTGTGATTCCTAACACGGGATCAATCTGTTGATGAAAAAATGGAATGAACCTTTTTCTGATATATTGTGGAAAAGATTTACAAGAATTAAACGCCTTCATGGAAACCTAATAGTGTATTTTTGATTATCATCTCAGTTGTGATTTATACAGTGTGATCCACTGAGTGTGCAACAAATGGGAAACTCTTTTATTATCGATTTCTCAGAAAATTTTATTCTTGACAAAAGTTGGTGCATGTTCCAAAACTATACCAAGTGTACCTGAAATGGCTTTATGACAAACACCATACAGGATAGGCCGAAAAATATAAAGTTCGTTCAAGAGTTGAAGTACGCTTATTTCAAAAAATATAGAAATATGTTAAAGAGCGAAGATGCTTAGAATTAAAAGCTATGTTATTATGACTGCACCACATTTATTACGAAATGTCCTATTCAGCCACTGAGAAACATTTCTAGTTGAATGGGCAGGACATCCGTCATGTTGGAACCATAACTTTTGCCGTTCTTCTAATACCATATCATCCAAAAACCCTTCTATTTCAATTCACTTCCACGGCCACCACGGAATTCCTACTTGAATACTCAATTACTCAAAAACAGAAGAAGAATATTTGAAAATGTTTTTCTGCGAAGACTCGAAATACCGATTATTTATGTTACTATACTGTTTTGTTTTTTCAGGTAACCCTCTGGGTGATAATACACATTAGAGTGATCACCAGTCGAGCAGTGAATCAGAGTACTGAACTACCTACAGAGAACAAATCGTAAGTATAAGAAGACATCTTATTAGATTATTTAAAAAGTTTTGTCCTTTTCCATGAGTCTACTACAAACTGTAAGATATCAGGGAATACGTTTTCAATTCATCCGGTATAAACGGCATTTGAATCAGTCCTTTTTTTCCAACGTAAAACAAGTCGAATAATTCCGTCAGCCTAAAAATTGTGTGCCTGGCATTCGATAAAGTCAACAAAATCCGTTTCTCCTGCACCTGAATGGTGAAGGTTCTACGGAATTGCTTGAAAAAATGATGATCGCTTGGCGGGAGGTTTGAGGGTGTGCTTTATAGATTGTGTTATAATAGCATGATATTTTTCAAATGACTCATACCGCCATCTCTGGGTCAGGTCAGGTACTTCCGAGACCACCTTGGTGGTCCCAGTTTCTAGGCCCTTTCATAATTAAGTACATGACTCAATCTGTACCATTTGTATCGTTCGATTCCTGTTATATTAGTACTTGGTTGCATTCTCAGAATCAATGAAATGTTTGTTTCAGAATTGCACAAAAGAGAGTTGGATATGATTATACCCCAGCAAATCTCGTCCATGAAGAACATGTGTATGACGTAGAACATCAAAATTTACATCAGGAAATTCAAGACTATCATCAGGATGTGCATCATGATGTTCAACAAGATATACATCATGATATTCACGATGACCACCACGACCACAATGATCATCATGATCCAGGCTACTGGAAAAAAAAGATGATCTGGAAGAAAGGTTGGAAAAAAGTTTGGAAGAAGGGTAAGAAACAAATTTGGAAACCTCAGTGGAAGAAATACTGGAAGCCTATATGGGTCCCCACCAAGAAACCTGGCTGGAAGGAAATTCACGTTCCAGACTGGAAAAAAATCTGGAAGCCCGTTTGGAAACCTATTCAAGTCCCAGCTTGGAAAGAAATCAAAGTGCCTGACTGGAAGAAAATCTGGAAACCAGTATGGAAGCCAATTAAAGTTCCAGCTTGGAAAGAAATTCAAGTTCCTGACTGGAAGAAGATTTGGAAGCCAGTTTGGGTAGAAATCCAAGTGCCAGCTTGGAAAGAAATACAAGTACCTGCATGGAAAAAACATTGGATTCCAGTTTGGGTGAAGGAGGCCATTCATGGGAACCATTATCTAGGAACTGATCATGAGGGAGCCCAAATTACCGCTCATGACCTCTGGAAGAAGAAACTTATCTGGAAACCTATATGGAAGAAGTACTGGAAACCAGCCAAGAAGCAAATTTGGGTTAATGACAAAAAACTGAAGTGGAAAGAGGCCTGGAAGCAAGTCTGGCGAACGGAGAAAAAACAAATCTGGATTGCTGACAAAAAGTTGGCTTGGAAAGAAGCCTGGAAACAAATTTGGCGTACTGAAAAGAAGCAAATTTGGGTAACAGACAAGAAACTCGAATGGAAAGAAGCCTGGAAGCAGATTTGGAGAACTGAGAAAAAACAAATTTGGCTGCCAGATAAAAAGCTTGAATGGAAAGAAGCCTGGAAACAAATATGGGTACCAGATTGGAAGGAAATTTGGCTTCCTGACTGGAAATTGATCTGGAGGCCAGTTATTATTCAAGAATGGTTTCCAAGTCCTGATCACCATGATCATCATCATGAGTCCCATCATGGTTGGGATCGTCAAGGACAGGACAATCAAGTACAAGAAAGCAAAGAAACTCCTCAGTATGTCACGGTTGCTCCAAATCGTACCCAAAAGTCTTCCAAATTTTCTTTTCCTTCGTCATGATGATTTCATTTCACATGTTATATTCGCTCATTTTTGTAAATATTAGTTTGTAGGTACTCTCCCGACTGACAAATATTCGATTCCTTTTTTCTGTCTATGTAAACTGCTTGACAAAAAATAAGAGAATTTCCCATTGTAACAAAAAAGGACTGTGTTAGTCGATTGGGGCCCAGAAAATTATCAATCAAATGACCAGTATTCATCAGTTACTATGAAATATTCAGTCAGAAAATGTGTTCGCATCTCACATCCAAACTAAAACATTGAACGTCAAGTTACATTAATCATAAAATGTAAAAAAATTCGGTTTCCAAGTAGAACTGAATTTAATATATTTGTTCAGAAATCCATAGTGATAGTGAATTGGAAAATAAGAAGATTTGAATTACATTAGGATAAAATAAATAAGTGCGAAACTTGAATGAGTTTTTCAATTGAATTCTTGCTTACATTGAAATATTTTGAATGAATAAATAATCTGTTTGAATTATTTCACTTCTGGAATTTACAGATATCCCAACATTTACGAGTAGGTATTAAAAACGTTTTCTTGACGCTTTAGTTCATATATAGCGTCACCTACTCAATAGTCGATAAACTTCCCCAACAAGGAGGTTAACTACTTTGAGTCATCTGCGTTTTCTTGCCTGTTCATAGATGGCAAGTTTTGCTTCAAAGAAGTAGACATTTGAAGCAGGTACCATTTGTGTCTACGTCAAAACTGAAAATCTGCCTATAAGTTTACGTGAAATTAAAAATGCTGTGTATAGTTTTCCATATCTTTGCTGACTATAGATGTTCACGAAAACTGTGCAATTTCATACAATATTTTTCTGTCATATTTGTAAGGCAATGATCAATGTTGTCCCTGCGCAATCAGTTCGAGTTGAAAAAACTAGATGACGCACATAGTACCTTCGAAACAACACTCAAAATTCGAACTGAGTACCGCTGATGAAATCTACGAAATGATGAAGTCTACGCCTTCTTTTCATAAATCTATATACAGATGGCGCTCCGGCAAAAAATTGTGACATGCACCCATTCCGAATCCAAAGTGTTTTAAGATAGATAAGATACTGATGCCTTATCATTGCCGTGATAAGACAGAAAACTCGAAAATAATTATTAATGGTGAAAAACCATTTCATTTTTCCCTACTAATACCACTGACAAAATATTATTCGGATAAACAGAAAATACTATTTCAGGATTTTTTTATTTAATTTACATTAACCATGCACAAATGACCTATTAGTGAAAGTACATTATAATGACATTACGTTATGATTATAAAATAAAACATTAACTGTCATTATTTTGTCATATTTGGTTCATACTGTTTATATCGGAAAAAAATTCAGTATATGTCGAAATGTTAATTTCATTTTAACAAATTGATGGATGTAGTCGTTACGACGTGGTAGGATATGATCATGAAAAATCTGAAATGAAACTTTATATGTTTTTCTGTGATAAAAGTAGTAAAAAAATATAGAAGTTTCATTTCTCATTTTTCATAATTTCATTATCTTCACTTNCAGGGCTCTTTTTTTGTAAGACAAAAACATTTAGAAGAATATTACCACTGCACACTTCCCAAAATGGGATACCGTATCGCAAATGTGACTCTATCAAGGAGTAGTATACTGTCTTTGCGGTTGGGTATCCTAGTTCATTTGCTGCAATTGTCACAGCATAACAACCAGAGGACAAGTTTTTATCCAAGTTTTTGACATGTTCATTGAATTTGAGACCGGTGTCGATGCATAGCCTAAGAAATTTAAAAAAAACACTGTTTTCAATAATCTGGTGGTTTAAAGAAATATCAGCTACTGCACATTTGAAGGGCACCATCTTATTTTACAATATGATGAAGGATAAAAGGTTCGAGTTGAACCACTCTTTGACCTTTATTATATCTGAATTGATGATACGATGAAGATCAGCTTACTTATCATTATGCCTTAGTATCGTGGTATAATTAGCGAACAGGGTGACATTTCACCAGGTCAGTCATATAGTAAGAACAAAATTGGGCCTAAGACTAATCCTTGCGGAACACCACATTGCATATTACCTAAACTTGAGATTGATTTTGTATTAACTACTTGTGTGTGGCCAAATAAATATGTTGTGAATCATGAATGTGCTTTATTTCGAAATCCGTAACAGTGAAGCTTCCGCAGCAGTATCTCATAAGTCACGTAGTCAAAAGCCTTCGATAAATTACAATATACAGCCGCGGCAAATCCCCCATTATTGATCCTAGTATACAGTTTATATAACAGTGAAAATATTGCTTCATTTGTGTTCTTATTCCAAAAAGTTAAAGATTCTCCCCTTACCCCTTCCCATACAAGATACAGTTTTCGTTAACACTCACGTTTGCTAAATTCATTAGTGGATCATAGGTTACGGTTACATTTTTGTCAATTCATCTGCAACTGAAGATTAGTAATTATTTAATGTGTCCGGATTCAACTCCAAATCTACTTCTTTTTGAAATTCTTTGCTGAAAGATCATTTACTATCTTCCATTAACTCTCCTTTGATTGTTGGTGGCACCATCTAAAGCACCATATAAAGGACCACTTTTCTCATCTACCTCGCGCGCTCAATAAATCACATACATAAAGACCGTACCGAGGAAATCAGGATGGAGGAAATAAATAAAACGCTTCAAAATTTTTGTTGTAGCATTGTATTTGGGACCACTACAGAAATATTCTCACTACAGAAATATTATGTCTCTGGTTAGCGTAAAAACAGATTCTTTGAGTAAAATGTCAAAGAAACCGATGAAAGTTTAAAAAAATTTAAATTCAACTGAATCATAAAAATCTTCATGACCCAATATTCTAGCTCTTTTGGCTGCAATTTTGTCATCACTTTTTCCACAGGACATCAATTTGTCTATAAACAGCCGTTCAGGCAGTCTACTTCAGTTTCTCACGTAAGTCTTTGATCTTGAAAAAGAAGATATGGAAGGAACTAACTGAGTAATATTTGACAAGATTAACTTTTGATCTTTGAATATTGAATTCATATGTCCGATAAAATCATTGAGGAATGGAATTTCAACTGCGATACTAGAATATGGGAATGCGTACTCAAATGACGTGAAAATTTTGTGGGTTTACCATTTGAAACAACGAATTTGGATGTAGTTTTTTATGAACTGTAATGCTAATATCGCATGTGTTTCATTTTACTCTTTCTCTCTTCACAAATAACAGAGCTATCGCTTGTTCTGGGACATCCGTGTTAGGAATCACACGTTAAAAGGTAAGACCTCGTTAGTCCTTAGCTCGCACAAGTTTCTCAACTTCTGAGAGTTGTCGTTCGTATGGGGGTGGCAGCTGACTAATGGAAAAACATATTTTAAACAGATTTTTAAACAGATCCTGTATAGTGCTGGTCTTTCATGAAATATTTTGACTACATTTTGTTGACCAATATAACTGAACAAGCCTGAAAATAGACTTGACTTGACAAAAAGAAACACATCCTGAATCAATCAATGTTTAATTCACAACAATTCAATAAATAACACAAAAATAAATAAATTAGATGGCATCATTTCAGGTTTTGGAAATATTTTGAGTTTTCAAAATCCTTTCTTCAAACCAATCACTACAAATTCTTCATTTGAACTTCTCCTTAGACAGAGTTGACAGTAAAGCATACAAAGTACAATTGTAAACAGTCATCTGCCCCAATATCAGGTTATTTATATCTCTTGGTCTGGCGCTTATTGTTTCACGGGAGTTTTGGGAAAGGGGATCCATTCTCTGACCGCAACGGGGGCCCACACTTTTCGCCATATTGGAACATAGATCTGAAAAATGAAAATTTTATCAATAATATCATTGTGCTACTGGCCGTGGTGGTTCGAGTAATGTACTGTGACGTCACATCACAATGACAACGCGCACAAAGTTTCTCGAACCAGCAAAGAACACGTGAGGAGGCATCGACAAATATTTGTTTGAATGTGGTTGACAATGTTTATTGATGTTGAGAGGTTTTGAAATATTTGTACTGGAGAAATATTGAATACATATGAAAATATTCATTATCCGCTGAATGATTTGACTAACGCTGAAGAATTCAGGTGGAAAATCAGAGAGCAGCTGAAGCGAGAACTACTTCCAAGGAAGAAAGGCTCTTATGAAAAGCTTACACCATCAAGATTCTAGCTGCAGATAAAGGGATGGATATAGATCTTTGAGAGAAGAAAATCGAAGTCTTCCTTTCGAAGGAACAGTTTATGGAGATTGCATTAGATCCCACTGCATTGTCAGAAAGGAAAGTGTATCAGAGCTTGGAAATATATCAATTCCTTCTTTCTCAGTATGAGAAATCATCACTGAAAATGCACCACAGTAAGTCTCCTCACCTATATGGTCTACCCTAGACTCACTAGAAGGGTGTTCCAAATGTTCCAGACGTGAAGAGACCCGGCAACAGGTAGGGAATACCTTTATTTCGAAACAAATCCACCTCCCACCAACCTACCAAGACTGGAATCTTCAGGTACGTACATTGAAAAAGAGTGAATCTTCTTGATTCTATACTGCGAACGTTGAGGACCATTACATCATTTAGTGGGTGATCTTTGAAGTCAGTGACAAGAGTGGGAATCTGCCGAACTCTGAAAACCCAATTCACTCCACGGTATGTGCTCAACTGCCAGGACCTGAATTTTCTCGTGAAAAATAATTCACTGAATGTTAAGATTGTTTCCAATCTGGTGACAAGAAGATCGGCAGTTAGTCTGCGACTACCTTTGTCAGGTTGAAAAGCTACGAAACTATGTATGGCTTGGGAAAAAGGTTGTCTGTGACGCATTTTAAATACATGCCCTATCGTGTCTTGAGAACACTAACTTCACCACCAACCAGAAGATGCTGTTGTGATATTCTAAGGTAACCTGAAGCCATCTATTGAGGCGAGAATGTGTAGCTCTGGTGATGACTTTGTGAACCATCTTCTGAAAATATCCTTCATGATAGCCATAATAACATACTGAAAGTTCCAGTTGTTTGTTTAATATAGAAGTTGTCATATTCAGGTTTTCAAGATTTCCACCTCAAAGAGCTCAGACACTTTTTTTTGTGAGGGCATCTGTGAGTCAGCTGTACATGACGATTCAATAGATTCAGCGATTCAGAGCTCTTTCGCTTGAGTGAAACAACGTTTGAGCATGAACGTTTGCTGACGACCTGCTCAGGGGTAGTTCATATCCTACGCTCATGCAGATTCTCTTTCTGCTGCACCTTTCTGGCTGCACCACCTAGTCTCCTAGGTTTTTTGTTATAGAATCAAAATCGTCTCTTCCTTTCCAATGGTGTAGGGAAGAGAGTTGGAGTTGTTTCAAGAGTAGCTAGAGAAAAGACGCCAGTCCCGGCAGACCCCCATATTACACTCTCGACGATGAGAGGGGTTTCATTAGTGACACTGAGTGAACAGTGTGTGGACAAACCCAGTTATGGTACGCATATACACACACATCTGAGGATGAGGCCTCTAAATGTGACACTAACTTTCGACTTTCGGACTCTCAGGTCTGAGATGTTTCGGAGGTTTTCAGGTCAGAACATTTCTTAATTTTGAAACCTGAACTAGTTCTGGATTTTTGTTGGAAAGTTCTTTCCCTGACTAATTTTCTTGCGTTGGTGCACCCTGTACAGTGCAAATGAGCTTTAGATATTCCCTACCTATTCCAAAACAATTTTTGCATGACTACTCAATAGAGGAGTCCTCGAAAAGTGATTATGAAAGTGAGTTCAATAAACCCTTGTTACATTCATACCCATGAATAGTGATCGATAGAGAATTTTATTCTCTTTGCATTGAGGCTGTTCATTTCTTTCCAAATTTAAATTTTTGCCTCTCAGTTCCGGAGATTTTAGCCTAGAAGTGGTCGACCTACTCCAGGACCCTGGTAAAGACTGACCCATCACAAACGATGTGTGTAACGGTGGAAGAACTGGGCCAGGGAAAAACAGCCTTCGTCAACTTTATCGAATCCCGAAAGCACAATTTTTATGCTGACGGAATTAATCGACCTTCATTACGTTGGCAAAAGTGCACTGATTCAAATGGCGCTTATTTCGAATGAGCTGAATGAGTTCTCACTGAGTAGCCCTAGTAGCCCTATGTTTGGGATCTGACCTACGAAGAAATGAAGTTGAAACAAATTTCCATCTTTTTCTTGACAATGAACCCATTGACTGGGTGAATTCAGCAAAAAATTCAGGTGTATATATAGATAACATTCTCTCGTTCAACGAGCACGTTGAACACATTTACAAAACTTGCTTTTTTAAACTGGAATCCTTATACAAGTTCAAGTTCCAGCTTTGTCCAGAAACAAAACTGAAATTAGTTCAATCATTGATTTATCCCCATATTGAGTATTGCTGCTCTGTGTATCACAACTACTTGCCAGACTATAATAAACACAAACTTCAACGCATACAAAATGCTTGTATGAGATTTGTGTGCTGCATAAACTACCGTGATCATGTAACTGCATATTTATTGAAATTAGATCAGCTGAATATTGAGTTTAGAATTCGTTATCTCATATCTGTATTCTTATATNCTATATTCTAGGTTGAAGCAGACTCATGAAAACGAAAGACACTTCAGAAATAACGTAATAATATGTTCACTATTATTATTCTACAAGTATATCAATGTGATGCAATGTGATACTGAAAGAGTATTCCTCAATCAACGAGGGTAAATACTCATATTCTTTGAAGAAACGTCAATATCTCAAAAACTTATGTTTCCTGACAAGATGAAATTTTAATTCATGTGATTCCTAAAAACTGAATACTTCGTATTACGAGTATATACAGATTACTTTTAACGAGTGGAAGTACCAGAAATCTTTTTTATTATTACTTGTTATCTGTAGAGTAGGGAGGGTGAGTGTAGGCCCACAGCACTTAGGCCACATGTGACCCATTGTACATCCTTCCGAATTGTCCTCCTAGGTCATCGTCCATCCTGTCCTTTCCAGGAAGGTGAACAGGTCAATAGGAGATATCTCCTTTATATTGGCAGGTGTAGGCTAAGACTTGCCGAACATACTCTCTTATTGACGACAACTACGGGCACTCACATAGGACATGCCTGACAGTCTAATCTTCCTGTTCACACATCCTGCATAGAGGTGTGTCCACTAGCCCCATATTACGGAGGTGTTTCCTTAGTTGACAGTGGCCAGTCAGAAATCCTACTGTTAAGCGTAGATTTTTCCTGGTCATCGTCAGATATTTCTTCGGCGTCAGCTTTCCAGGATCGCCCAGGGTGATCATGGCAAGGTTGCATCCTTTGATTCCATCCCATCTCTTCAGGGATTGAGCATAAGTGTAACATTTGGCTAGTTCCGCAATTGTCGAAGTCATCAGGACGTAGGTGCCACTGGGTCCTAAAGTTCTCAGTTCAGCCGCTTCCTTGGCTAAAGAGTCACCAATGCGATTACCTTCACTCCTGTCGTGCCCTTTGACCCACCTCAGGATAATGTTAATATCTACCGAGGCTTTGGCTAAACCTTGGTGGCACTTTAGTACTAGCCCTGAGTTAACGCGTTGTTTGTTCAAGGCTAATAGGGCTTGTCCGCTATCTGTGCAGATTGTTATGTTTTCGCCAGAAATTCCTTTTCATTTCCCACTCAATCCTTAGGCTCAGTGATCTGGAGTACACTCCACATCCTGAGCCTTCTGTGGTTTTTGAGCCGTCTGTATATATGCGTATTGCATTTGTAGCATCTGACTCTGTGTTCTGTTTTATTTGTACTTTATAGGGTTTATTGAACACAAACCCGAGTTCAATTGAATCACTGGTTGCCTGCAGCAGAGGTTGCGCAGTAAGCGCTTCTCGCCATAGGCTCAGCCTCAATTGTTCCATTCCTAGTTCGAGGTTTACACCAACCTTGCGCAATCGTAACATGGCCATTAATGCAACCTCCTCAACGTATAGGCCCAGAGGGGTCAGACCAGTAATTAATTCCATTGCCGCGGTTGGTGTTAATCTAATGGCTCCTGTGATGTTTGAACAAGCCAGTCGCTGTATTTGATATAGCATTTGAATGGCCGTTGCTCGTAGAACTCTTGGACCCCATGCAATGGCTCTGTACAATAACATAGGTCTTATTATTACTGTGTAGATCCAGGTGACATGGGGTGAAAGACCCCATGCGCGTCCCACTGTCTTCCGACATCGCTCTTAAGCGACATATGCTCTTTTTGCTCTACTCTGTAGATGAGAGTTCCATATTAGCTTCCTGTCGAGGATAGTACCAATGTATTTACCTCTTCAGATGAGTTTAGTTTGCTTTTGAAGATTTCGGGGGGTTTTAAGCCAGATAAACTTCTTTTCTTGGTGAAAAGGACCATCTCATTCTTCTTGGGATTGATCGACAGTGAGTGTTCCTTACATCATGTTTCTATTAATTTGAGCCCATCCTGCGCTCTTCGCACAGTATGTTCACAAATTTGCCGGTCTGCAAGATAACTATGTCATCTGCATTTGCAATTGTGTAGAATTCATTATTGTTGAGGTGATAAGACCCCTTCCTGTGGACATCCTCTCAAGACCAGTCCTCTCACTGTGATGTCTTCTACATTGATACTTGTTGCTCTTCTAGATATCATCTTGAGTATTCATTCTCCTACTACCAGGAGTACATTCCTGGAGTGTAGTTGCTGGGTAATTGTTGGAAAGGTTGTTTTATCAAATATTCCTTCGATATCTATGAATATACCCAGGGTGGATTCTATGTTGTCTAATGATCTCTCGATTCTACCAACCACATGGTGAAAGGCCGAATCAGTATTTGGATGAAGTGAGTTGTAAACTAGTACTCCATCTCTGATGTACCGCTCATATAGCTTCTCCATAGTTTTTAAAAAGAACGATGTGAGACTAATTGGTCGGAATGCTTTTGGTAAAGTATAGTCCATCCTACCTGGTGTGGGTATGAATACTACTGGTACTTTTCTCAACTTACTGGGAATATATCTCAGAGCTAGAGAGGCTCTGATTATTCCAACCAGGTGCGGCATAAGAATATCCAGTTCCGATTGAAGTAGGGCTGGTCTTATACCGTCAGGTCCTGATGACTTGAAGGGTGAAAAGCCCGATGTGTCCCATTTTATCTTGTCCTCGTCAACTACTGCACTAGCAGATTGCCAGTCGTATTGTGAGGGTGTTGTTGATACTTCCATCTAGTTCGTCATTCCAGAGGAGACAGAACCTGGGAAGTGAGTTTTTATTAGAATCCCAGCACTCTCTTGGAGGTGTTCCAGTTCAGGGCACCACCATGTACTGGTTGTGCCATCTGTTTGAACCATCCTCATCGGACAGGCTTCCTTGTAGGCAATTTCTGTTTTGTTTTGGATAGATACCCTGTACCTTTCCAGTTCTTTATTATTGTCAGGAGTCAGGACCTCTGTTTCCCGCAGAGCTCCTTGTAACAGTCGGTTGTAGAGAGCTACACCCGTCCTCTTCGGGTCACGGGATTTTACAGTGGTCCTGAGATTCTGGCTTATCGTATAGGTCAACCTATACGATAAGCCAGACTTGCCAGTCCTGGATTTATTACTTGTTAAATGCGGTAGTCTTTACAAAAGACTTAGGTCTTACAAATAGTTCATCATTGAAATCACAATTTCTTTTTTCTGAAGGTGTAGTTCTAAGTTCCTGCACCATTTTACCTTTTTTAGTTCCCAGTCTTTCACCCAATGTGCTTTCCATTGCAATTTGGATTTCCAGAGTCCACCTAAAACGTTTTCCTGGTCAACTGAAACAATTCTGAAAGAAAAAAAACATTATTGATTGTTTCAAAAGTGACAACAAAAATAAGTTAGAAATGGGTTTTTTTAGGTTTCTTCCATTCAAAAACAAGTTTCATTCGGGTACTTCTCTCATAAATATCAAACTAATAATATTTGCCTGTTATATTCGTTAGTTAATTCACCAAATATTGTGTACCTCGAATCTTAAAAATCATTTTGTGATATATGAATAACAAGATTAACGAAAAAATTTAATATTTACAATTCGCTATTTGAACTTCTGGTACCAAGAAACGTATCTACGTATCATTATTTGCGTTTGGAGATACACCTTTTGTTAGAAGGATGGGGAAACTACTATATATTGATATGATGGATTTGGCCGATACTTGATGAAAATCCACAACGTATTCAAAAAACACTTTGTACTGAGATTTTCCCTGAACAGTTTTACAAAAGCGTAACACGTGTTTCGCCACACAATGGCTTCTTCGGGTGTGTCTTTACATGTAAATACCTAAATAGACGAAAAATTTGCACAAACCTTAAGTCATTATCGATATATAACTTTCTCGATTTTGTCTTCACAGTTCAAGAGTACAAAATTTCACAAACTGAAAACAGAGTAGGTATATTTAAAATTGACTGAAAAATTGAATAGCATCAAAAATCACAGTGATCTGGAAATTTCGCTTTGTACATCTACTCAAGGGGCAACAGAATGAAAATCTTAAAGTTCCAACAGAGTTCTAGGAAGACACTTTATGTCATGAAAAATAAATATAGTTTAAAAAACTAAAAACCACGCGTTTTTTCGGTCGTTATTGTTTAAACTTATTAAAAAAAAAATTCAACTTCTCAGTTCGACGTTCTTTGAAAGAGTGTTTTATAGTTCTTTTTAAACTATATTTATTTTTCATTTTTTAGTTTCGTAAATCTGCCCGCGAATAGATCAAGCAATAATGTCAATAATTCTGTCAAATACAGATCCTGATATGAAATGAAAAGGAGAGTTACAAACAAACAAACAAACAAACATATGTACAAACATACATACATACATACAGGTGAAGCTAATATAAAGCGTGTAGAAGATGGCTTCTGAGACCTTCGAACTGATCGAAACAAGAGTTTTTCCATTATCAAGACTTTTTTATGGAGATGCTGTATACTTCAACAGCGAGGGCCCGACTTTTTGACGATTCCGCTGCCGTGTTCCGAGATAGAAACCGGATTCCCTTTCGCAAAGTTGTGTTGAGAAGTTCGTAGGTTGACATAGAAAAAAAAAATCGATGAAATTTTATTTTGATAACCAATATAGTTGCCTTCGAGGTCGATACAAATATTATAGCGGTTATGCATCATTTTTATAGTACTATTTCTCTTCAGCCTCAAAGTAGGCATCAGTTTCAACGGCACTAAATTTTTCCCCAGCTAGCATTCACATGTGGTCAGAGAACAAAAAAAATTCGCTGGGGATCAGATCTGGAGAATACGGTGGATGCAAAAGCAATTTGAAGCCCTATTCACGCAATTATGTCATAGTTTTTGTTGATTTGTGACGCGGTGTATTGTCTTGATGGAACAGCACTTTCTTTTTCTTCAAGTGGGGTTATTTTTCCGAAATTACATCCTTCAAACGCTCCAATACCGCTATGTAATGGTGGCTGTCGATGAGTATTATACCATGCGCATCCGAAAATACTAATATGATAACATTATTAGCCAACTGTTGCCTCTTTACACGCTTTGGAGTCGGTTCACCACATGCGGTCCAATAAAAAAACGATCGTTTTGATTCTGGTGTGAAATGATGGAGTCATGTTTCATCCATTGTCATATATCGACCCATAAATTTGGGCTTCGTAGAGTGGAACCGCTTCAAATATAGCTCAGAATCATCAATTCTTTGTTGTTTTTGGTCGATTGTGAGAATCCACTTTGAACAGAACTTTCTCATTCCCAAATATTCATGCACGATATGATTTGGTTATCGGAGATTACTCAGGATGTATGAACCTCTGAAGAAACTAGCCACTCGCGCCAGTGAAACGTCAGGAAGTAATTCCAAAAATTAATGTCCCCCAAACCCGAAAAATAGTGATACTGGTTGACTGGAATAGTCTTTCCTCAACAAACAGACAATTATTCATAAAATTAATTCAGAATCGGACGAATATACAGTTGTCTTTGAGTCAAAAAGCTCGAAAAGTAGGTGCTTCACCATTTGAACGATCGATACAAATGGTCACGTTTCGAGTTCTGCTCTCCTTTGCTTTTGCGCAACAAAAAACGGATCGGATCGTTACATGTGATGAAAAGTGGATCCTCTACAACAACAGAAGGCATTCAGGACAGTGGTTTCTCACCGATGAGCCACCGATGAGCCACTGTAACTCTCTGCAAGCGGGTCAAATTATCTTAGCTGTCCAAACTTTGATGCTATGACTTGTCGGATCACATTGGATTTGAATCGCCGGAGATTAAACGTTCTCAGAAAGTGCATTTTACATAAACGCAGATCTCCACATGAAAGAGTTCTCAAAAAGTGAAGTTTGAGGTGTACTGGATTGAACCCCAAAAAGATGAGCAGCCACAGTCCGTCGCTTATTTCTGATATGTACCGCTCTCAGTGGAATCAAACGTTCCAAATCACTTGAACACTTTCCGTGAAAGTATTCATAGAAGAGAGACAAACCTCCAACAAAACTCCAACCTCCAACACGTGATGTTCGCGTTTCCAATCAGGCGGACGGCTCTTTTCTAGGTAGAATCCAGCAACTTCAGAGTATGTTTCTGGGCAGAGCTTCATACATGAGAACAATACTCCAAAGAAGGTCTAATCTGAGCTTTGTAAAGCATCAAAAGTTGCTGAGGTGTGTATAGTTTTCTGGTTTGCAGCAGTGTTCCAAACTTTTGAGAAGCAGCCTTTGCAATTACAGCGACATGACTGTGCCAAGTCATATTGGTTTCCAGTTTAACTCCCAACAAACTTATCGAAGCAAAAAGCGGAATCCAAATGGAATGTCGAGACAACTGTGCTGTCGCCAGCAAAATAATATATTGGATTCTTTGTTTTTTCCAATGAGTTGTTGATATGCAATATAAAGAGATTTGGAGACAATATGGATCCCTGGGGAACATAAGCGTTGATGGTGAAAGTATTTGAGAGATATCCATCGACGGCCACTTACGGGGAACGTTCTTTCAGGAAGCTGGAGAGCCATACACAGAAATGATCCAACAAGCCGTAGCATCTAAGTTTGACCAGCAAACTCTCATGCCACAGTCGGTCAAATGCCTCAGAAGTATCAAGCAGTACAGCTCTTGATTCTCCATGTTTCCCATATTCCAAATATGGGTGACATACGTATCCGAAAGCCATATTCATGATCGCTCAAGATGTTGAAGCCTTTCAAATATTTGAGGATATGGTGGTTCACGACTTTCTCCATGATTTTTGATATCACTATAGAAAAAGCAACTAACTGGTCTATAGTTATTTGGAAGATTTTTCTTGCCTTTTTTGGAAATAGACTGAACGCGAGCAATCTTCCAACAAGAAGGAAAAACCCCCTTCTTGTAAGACAGGGTGTTAAGTCTGCAAGAGTATTTGACACTTCTGAAATAACGTCTGTTCTATTACAGTAACTATGTTACTATTACAGTAAAATACCTCTAATTCCGCGACAAATATTATTTATACGACTCGAAAATTGCTAAATTTGATACTTTTCTTCAGTTACAAAAACTAAATATATGGAATTATATTTCGAGGATTTTGTGAAAAGTATTCCCTACTCAAATTTATTTTTACCTGTTTCTGTAACGACCTGCTCAGGGGTAGTTCATATCCTACGCTCATGCAGATTCTCTTTCTGCTGCACCTTTCTGGCTGCACCACCTAGTCTCCTAGGTTTTTTGTTATAAAATCAAAATCGTCTCTTCCTTTCCAATGTTACAGGGAAGAGAGTTGAAGTTGTTTCAAGAGTAGCTAGAGAAAAGACGCCAGTCCCGGCAGACCCCTATATTACACTCTCTACGATAAGAGGGGTTCCCTTGGTTCATTCATACCCATGAATAGTGATCGATAGAGAATTTTATTCTCTATGCATCGAGGCTGTTCATTTCTTTCTAAGTTTAAATTTTTGCCTCTTCAGTTCCGGAGATTTTAGCCTAGAAGTGGTCAACCTACTCCTGGACCCTGGTGAAGACTGACCCATCACTAACGATGTGTGTAACGGTGGAAGAACTGGGCCAGGGAAAAACAGCCTTCGTCAACTTTATCGAATCCCGAAAACACAATTTTTATGCTGACGGAATTAATCAACCTTCATTACGTTGGCAAAAGTGCACTGATTCAAATGGCGCTTATTTCGAATGAACTGAATGAGTTCTCACTGAGTAGCCCTATGTTTGGGATCTGACCTACAAAGAAATGAAGTTGAAACAAATTTCCATCTTTTTCTTGACAATGAACCGATTGACTGGGTGAATTGAGCAAAAAATTTAGGTGTATATATCGATAACACTCTCCCGTTCAACGAGCACGTTGAACACATTTACAAAACTTGCTTTTTTAAACTGAAATCCTTATACAAGTTCAAGTTCCAGCTTTGTCCAGAAACAAAACTGAAATTAGTTCAATCATTGATTCATCCCCATATTGAGTATTGCTGCTCTGTGTATCACAACTACTTGCCAGACTATAATAAACACAAACTTCAACGCATACAAAATGCTTGCATGAGATTTGTGTGCTGCATAAACTACCGTGATCATGTAACTCCATATTTATTGAAATTAGATCAGCTGAATATTGAGTTTAGAATTCGTTATCTCATATCTGTATTCTTATATAAACTATTGGAAGGCAAAACTCCTAATTACTTGTTCAGAATAATTAGTAAGCAATCTGATAATCACTCTATCAATTTAAGAAAAGATACATTTACCATTCCATATCATGTTACCACCTAATTTGAGGGATGTTTTTCTTACTTTGGACCGA